CTATTTTTAGCTTTTTGACGACATACTGTTCTGCAGAATGGCTGCACCAGTTTGCATTCCCACCAACAGAGCAAGAGGGTTTCCCTTTCTCCACATCCTTGCCAATACCTGTTGTTCTTGTGTTGTTAATTTTAGCCATTCTGACAGGTAGAAGGTGGTATTTCATCGTGGCTTTGATCTGTATTTCCCTGGTGATGAGTGATGTTGAGCATCATTTCATGTGCCTGTTAGCCATCTGAATGTTTTCTTTGGAAAAGTGTCTATTCATGTCTTCTGACATGAACTGGGTTGTCTGTTTTTTTGGGTGTGGAGTTTCAGAAGTTCTTTCTAGATTTTGGGTACTAACCCTTTATCAGATATGCCATTTGCAAATATCTTCTCTCATTCTGTACGCTGACTTTTAGTTTTGTTGATTGTTTCCTTCACTGTGTAGAAGGTTTTATCTTAATGAAGTCCTAATAGTTCATGTTTGCTTTTGTTTCCCTTGCCTTCAGCAAAACATGGACAGTTTCTATTTTAAGAATATTAAAACCTAATGGAAAGTATTTAATCATAAAGGACTATGTAATCCTAAAGAAGAAGTAAAGCATACCGTCCCTAATGGACTATATTTTTATCACAGGATATGACCTAAAATGTGCTTGTGTTTTATATACATGGCATTGAGAATCCAGAGTATCAAAAATCACTGTAAATCTTGATCAAAAGAAACTTATTAGATATAACAATGAAATATAATATATGGGCTTTGCTCAGATCCTGGTGTTAATCAACTGAAATTTAAACAACAATTGGGAAAATTTAATATGCAGTGAATATGTGACAATATTAAATAGTCATTGGTAATTTTGTTAGGTGTGATAATGACTTGGAGGTTATGTAAGGAGATGGCCTTATTTTATGGAGATGCATGCTCAAATACATAGAGATGAAAAATCACATCTATAATTTATTTTAAAACACTTCAACAAGAAATCAACTGAAGCAAACATGCCAAAATGTTAATAACTGTTCAGTCTCGGTGATGGGCTTGTGGAATTTACTATAGTATTTTCTCCACTGTCCTGTATATTTGAAAACTTTTTTTTTTTTTTTTTACAAATAGTTTATTGTCAAATTAGTTTCCACAGAAAACTTTTATAATTCAACGTTTAAAAGAGCTTTGCACATTGGAGCACAGACAGTGCAGTGATGTGTCAGCTAAGCAGCATTATTTTATGATCATAGTGGATGCTGCTTTTTTGTGCCTTTTGTCACATTAAGAGATAAATAGCACTGCACCTGGAAACTAGATGATTTCTTCATCAGTGGGATATTACAGTAAAAATAAATCAATTACCAGCCCCCACCCCCTGCCCCACACACTCTGATTTTAAACTTGGCCTATGGTTATAGGAGGTGAGGTAGCTCAGAGGTAAACACTGCAACATGCAGAATCCTAAAGCTAGTATTTTAAACATTCTGTTTCAACCTTAATTTTGAAAGAGTACAGTCTTAAACTGCAGTTACTAAAGTCATTTTCTTTCCCATCAAAATGTAAATTCTACAACCTGGATTATAGTAACATATATAAAATATTGTTGCTGTGTCAGGCACAGGCTTGTCAAACCATGGCCCATCTTCTTCCTTCTCCGTTCAGAGATATTGAGGAGCTGTTACCATTAAATCTACCTGTGCTGTTTCTTCAGACAGTGTGTTTTTGCTGATAGTATGTTCTAGTACTGGGTATGGGTGAGGCTTTCTTTTCTTGGGATATTTTGCTATCTAGACCCTGAAGTAAGTTCAACTTATTGATGGATATAATAACTTCACATTGCTGTGTGGGCTGAGTCACATGAGCTGGCTACTGGTGGAACAAAACAGGTTGTGTTTTCATTCCCACCTACATTTAACTTTTAAGTTCTCTTTCTCCTCATTTTTCATCCGTACTTGGTGTCATTCATAGATTTAAGAGCAAAAGGTATCCTGCTGTCCCCCCTCTTCAGCCTCAATACTTTATAAGCTGTGAGTATTGTACCTCATATTATTATTATTATTATTATTAAGCAACAATGCCTATATGGAGGTATCTTGATTTAGAATTAGTGTTAAAAATAATGTCCTAATCGTAACAGTGAACACTCACTGAGCTCCTTCCCTGTAACGCACTACTGAAAGTGCTCTGGGGTGAAACGTAGTGGTGGAATGCATGGGACTAGAAGACCTGCTTTCTGTCTCCAGCAGTGGGTGAACTTTGTGGACATAAGAGAGACAGTTACCACGGAAAGTGTTTGGCAAGCACCAGCATGTGCCATGGACTGCAAGGGTGGCATAGACTCAAGATACCTGGGGCCACCATGGCTTCCACGAGCATAAAAAATTTAAACTGAACCTTCAGACAGGTTAAATTTTGACACAGAGAGAGAAAGGGCAGTAAAGTATTTCTGCATGGTCAGTGAGTATCCTCAGGAGCTAGGAGTGTTTGGGTAACTGTAAGTAAGGGAGTTCGGCTGGATGGAAGACCTCCTACTGGGACCAAGCATGCTGAGGGCAGGAATGTGAACTATGGGAAGCACTGGCCAGGCAGTAAAGATCTGGGGCAGTAACGTGAGTAAGGCTGTGTGTTAGGAGCTCAGTCTGGCAGTGTTGGCCTCAAGATAGGTTGCAGGGAGGAGAGATTAAGACAGGGAAATCAATTTGGAAACCACTGCAGAATAGTTCAAGTGGGAAAAGGAATAAAAGTGTACATTTGGGTAACGACAGCAGGAATCGAAGGGAGGCATGACTACCAGATGTGCTGCAAAAGAACTGACTAGAATTGATGAATGAATTGAAGTCCTCTTTGAAAGAGAACAGGAAAATGCAAACCGTGAAGTATAAGTTGAGTCATACCTCATATGACTCAACTGAGAATGTTTGAAAGAAAACTTGTCATTTTTTATTTATTTATAGGAAGGTAGCCCCACCCTTGTAATTACTAAGCTTCAGAAAAATTCCAAGAATGGCTGTTTATGTCCTCTAGCCTTGGCTGCCTTTTTATCCATCTCTAAGAATTAGCAGGACAGTGCTGTGGAGGAGGAGGAAATGTAACCTGAAACTTTACTAAGTATATTGGTTCATAAATGAGATGTGAAAGCACCCCCGAAAAAGTAGTAATAGTCTAGTGGGAAGAACCTGGAGGTCAATGCTGGAGGAGCAAGTCACGTAGAAAAGGCTCCCTTGAGAGGATGTTCAGTGTCTTTCAATGGAGTGGTGGAGCCCACAGCGAGAAGGGTGCTGGGGAATAAATCCTCTCTCCTACTCTCTTCCATCCCATTTCTTGATGATCTCCCTTTCTCCAGTCTAGATGGCAAGGGGACCCATTGGTGCAATATACAGGTCAGCCTCCTGAGGCAGATGGCAGGGTAGAGAAGAGGAGAGAGTAGAACTGGGGGTGCAGACAAAAGGGGACAGTCACAGCATCCTCTTTACAGCATATAACAGTACTGGCGGGGGTGGGGGGTTGTGTGGAAGATCTTCACAGAATCATAAAATGTGAGACCTGGAAGGATCCTGAGAAGTAATTCTCAGCCTCGTTTTAGAGATGGGGAAAGAGAACCCTATAGGGGTAGCAACTGGGTACAGCTAATTGTCACAGAGCCGAGGAAAAGGACAGACCTTTTGATTTGCAGCCCTGGCTCTTTCCAGTTGGCTAGGTAGCTTCCATATAGCCACAAAGTCTTCAGGCCCGTGACACCAGCTCAGCCACTTCTGCAAGGGTGAGAGTGGTAAGGAGGTCTCAGTTGTTACTCAAGGGAATGTGTAAGCATTACAGAGAAAGCCATTGCTGGCGGACATGTTCCTGTAACTGAAGTTAAGAGTCATTGCGGATAATATAGAAAGTATAGGAATGTGTTAAGGAGAAAATAAAATCACCCACAATGTACCACAGAGATAATAACTGTTAATGTTCTAGTACTTTCTTAAAATCTTTAAAAATTATAAATTTATATAAACGTGTATGTGTCAATCCAAATTTAGTATCAGTTGTACATACAGTTTTGTATCTTATTTTTTCACTTGATAGTAAATAATTTCCCACATAGTAAATTGTCCTAGAATCTAGGTTTTTGGTTTTTTTTTTCCAAAGATTTATTTCATTTTGAGAGAGAGAGAGAGAGTGCATGTGCATGTACGGGACAGGCAGAGGGAGAGAGAGAATCCCAAGCACGCCTCATGCTGTCAGTGCAGAGCCTGATGCAGGGCTTGATCCCGCAAACTGTGAGATTATGACCTGAGCTGAAATCGAGAGTCAGACACTTAAGTGAAACTGAGCCACTGAGGGGCCCCTAAGTTCCAAGTTTTAATAGTAGTAATATTTTTAATAGATATAGCATAATTTTAAAAATATTTCCTATTAATAGGCATTTAAGTTGTCTTTATATTTTCTGCTGTTATACATATATAAATACTTGTGCTTATCTCTAGGACGTTTTCATAAAAAAAAATTGCCAGCATAAGCATTTTCAGTGGTCATTTCTGGTGGGTCACAGTGGAAAGAATATGGCTCTGAGATCAGACATCCTGATCAATATTCTGCTCTCCAGTTTCTGGATGTGACCTTAGGCTCAGTCTGCAAAGCCTCATTCTCTTACTTGTTAAACAGGGATCATACTGCCAACCCCCCAGTGCTGTGAGGAGAACTAGATGAGACAGTGCCTTTAAAGTGGCTGAAACATAGGGAGTGCTCAGTACATGTTAGCTCCCTGTTCCTATGGGATGAGTTGGTTTGCACATGTGTGTGTGTACACATGGCTGGGTGTGTAGAATGAAGGGAAGAAAATATAAGACTGTAGTCAGTATAAAGAAAAAAGTAAAATTGACTTGAAAAGAGACACATTTAGACTATGAAGATTTCCTTCATGGTCTTGATGGTATTGATAATGAAGAGAGAAACAGAAGTCCTCAGTGACTATTTTTCTTGGCACTGGGCTGTCCAATAGACACTTGTAACCTTGTTCCCCATCCTCTTTCTTCCTAAGTGCTCATCTTCAAACTCTACCAGCGGGCAAAGCACGTGTACAGCGAGGCTGCACGGGTGCTCCAGTTTAAGAAGATATGTGAAGAAGCACCTGAGAACATGGTCCAGCTGCTGGGGGAATTAATGAACCAGAGCCACGTGAGCTGCCGGGACATGTACGAGTGCAGCTGCCCTGAGCTGGACCAGCTGGTGGACATCTGTCGGTGAGCCTGGGACAGCAGCATGGGGGGGGGGGGGCTGGGGGACACGGCCATGGAAACTGTTGAAATGCATGAAAAAAAAATGCAGTATTTTCATAGCCTTCTAAGTGAAAGGAAATTCTTCCCCACTTCCTGTCTGAGGTGGTTTCAATGATACAAAGCGGAACTCATTCTCTCCTAAATATCTGTAGGAGAAAGATTGGAGACCGGACTCCATAGCTTCATGAGGCCCTAGGTCTAGAATCAGTTCTTCACAACGCTTTTCCATCTTCGGATGATTAGATATTTCAGGGAGCTTTTCGTAGCCATAGACCCTGCTCTTACTTTCTCATCATATTTTAATCAATGGTGTATTCGCTAGAACGGGGGCCCTGCCAGCATCTCCTGTTTGGTGTCCTGAGTGTAGTAGATTTATTCAAAAGAAGGGAGAAAACAGAAAGAGGGTCTCAGACCTGATCGGAGTGTATTTGGAGGCAAGGGGAGGTGGCTGAAGGAATTCCTCAGAAAGCCTTTGAGATTTAGGTTAGGCAATTTGGAGAAATGAGGACTTGATGACCTGGTTTATAAATGGTTGGTTGAGACAGAAATGTAAAGGAGAAAACTCTTTCACAAAGCCTGAGAACAGCTTCCTTGTAATTGTTAGAGAATGGGGATAATAGAGTAGAATGGTCACTTTACCCAGAAGGGATTTCATTGACCTTGTGAGGACTGAAAGGGAAATTGGGAGAACTCTCAAATGGCTAGATGTTATTTCCGCTGTGAGAAGATAATGCAGGACTGCCTGCAATTAGTAATGAAAATAGTAATGAAAACAAAATTAACCACTTGGCACCTATGGCTTGCCTCACTCATTGCCACACTTCCAGCCTGAAAAGTCTAAATCACCTAGTTCCAGTGATCACAGATGGCATATGTAACCCAACTTGTAGAGAGACTTGAACATAGTATTGATGAGAATCACTCTGCTGACGTCAGAGCTTGCTCACTGATTGCCAAAACGCCTTTCAGAGCCTGTTCCATTATAAGTGCTCTTTTCTGAAAATACCAAGGGCCCAGTAAATGGAAGAGATGAATATTATTCAGTTCTGGAAATTAGAAGAAGTAGAATGGTTTGTGCAGATATCAGGCAGAAGTGTCTTTGCCTGGAGGGTAGCGGGGGTAGTTTGAATCCCCCCTGAAAAGCAGTGAAGGGGCATTTGCCAGCCTCCTGGAATTTTCTAATGAACCTCCTCTTCCTGGGATGGTTAACCAGCTCTCACTCTCATGGGGCCTCTCATGGGGAAAGAGGGGAATGACAATTAAAAATAAATTGATTGGTGGGGCTCCTGGGTGGCTTAGTCAGTTAAGCGTCCGACTTTCGCTTAGGTCATGATCTCGCGGTTCGTGGGTTCGGGCCCCGCGTCGGGCTCTGCGCTGACTGCCAGTTCAGAGCCTGGAGCCTATTTCAGAGTCTGTGACTCCCTCTCTCTCTGACCCTCCCCTGCTCACGCTGTCTCTCTCTCTCTCTCTCTCTCCTAGAAATAAATAAAAATATAAAAAAAATTTAAAAAAATTGATTGGTAGTGGTAAAGTGCTATGAAAAAAAAAAATAGAAGGGTCAGAGAGTGCCACGGTTGAGGGGGTAACCTTTAATCGGAAGGGTTGAGGAAGACTACTCTGAGGAGATGATGTTTGAGCAGAGACCTGAAGAAGTGAAGAAATGAGAACACAGGCCCTGAGGTGGGGATGTGGCTGTCACATATGAGGAAACGCTGGAAAAGCAGTAGGCTGGAGGGCAGTAGAGAGTAGCAGGTGATGAAGTAAGGGGGGTGGTGGGAAGGCACACCACAGGGCCTCCTAGGTCACTGGAAGGACTCTGGCTCTGGGCGCAGAAGGGTGGCGGTGGAGGTGCTAAGTGATCCCATGCAAGGTGTGCCTTGAAGGAAGATTGGAGACAATTGCTGTGTGGGTGAAAGACAGGAATCAAGAGGACTCCTGGGTTTTTGGTCTGGGAAAATGTGCTTGTTTCTGTAAGAGCCACATTTGGCGAAGCCAGATTTCACATTTTGGGGGTCAGAATTCTCTCATAGTTCCATTAGGTAAGAAGACAGGAAGGGTCCTTCGAGGCACGAGAAGGCACTAGGAGGTGAAGTGATTTGAACAAGTAAATGTATGGAGTCAGTGTGGAGCCTGGTTTCCAATCCAGTGTTTTGCCACGCCTCCCTCCCCACCTTGGCTTTACTGAGACATGATTACGTTGGAATGTGGGTCATTTTTCACCTGTTTTCCTTTCCGGGTTTAAAGTTTTAATAGTGGAGGTTTGTGTTGTCCTAGTGTGCAGCGCGTGAACACTGGACAGAGCCGTGTGGAGTGGGGGAGGCAGTGTGTGGAGTAAGACAACTGAGCTGAAGTTAGGAAGGTTGAGTTCCAGCTCTGCCACTCTTTCTTCCGAGCTCTGTGATTTTGCACTGTTGTTTTGTTTTATGATCTCTGGTGTCTTTTTCTGTTCGAACTGTCTATAGGTCTATTTTTTTTAAAAAATGCGGTACCCCAATGTTCATAGCAGCACTCTCCACAATAGCTAAAACATGGAAAGAGCCTAAGTGTCCATCAACAGATGAATGGATCAAGAAGATGTGGTTTATCTATACCATGGAATACTACATGGCAATGAGAAACAATGAAATCTGGCCATGTGTAGCAACATGGATGGACCTTGAGGGTGTTATGCTGAGCGAAATAAGTCAGGCAGAGAAGGACAAATACCATATGTTTGCACGTATAGGAGGATTAGGAGGAACTTGACGGAGGACCAAGGGGGAGAAGAAGGGCGGAAATGGTGGGGGAAAGGGAGAGAGGCAAACCATGAGAGACTCTTGAATGCTGACAAAAACTGAGGACTGATGGATGTGGGGGGGAGGGGGGGATGGGCATGAAGGAGGGCACTTTGGGGATGAACACTGAGTGTTATGTAGAAACTAATTTGACAATAAACTATTTGTAAAAAAAAAAAAAAATGCGGTTCCAGTGAAAGAGTTAGTGGCTAGGTCGTAAAAGGGTTCAGAGAGCACCTTTCGTTTATTATTACTCTTACTTGTTTTTGGAAAGTCCTTTCTTAATGGCTTAACACTCAAATTTAACGCTTAAATTAATCTTTAAACAGTTAATTTTTTAAAATTTATTCATTTTGAGAGGGAGAGAGCATGAGGGACAGAGAGGGAGGGAGAGAGAGAAACCCAAGCAGGTTCCCTGCTGTCAGCACAGAGCCTGAGGCAGGGCTCGATCTTACAAACCAGCAAGGTGCAAATGCAAAACGAGCTGCCCTTAAGCCCTAGTTCCTCTTGAAGCTTCATGACTGTAGCACTGGGCCAGGACGGGGAGGTGCTGGATGTGCTGCGAAGGGCCCTGGCACGGCAAGTCAACCTCTGGTAGAGTATTTTGTTTAAGAGTCACAATCAGCTCCACATTTCCCTGTCCCTTTTAAAAATGTTACCACCAAGGGGGAAGGCATGATTAAGACTGGGCAGCCTGAGGTTGGTTGTCTTCCTGAGACCGTAAGAGGGAGGAGGGAAGCTGAAATGGGTTCAAGGAGGAACAAGGCCAAAGACCGTCTTTATTCCCTGGTCTACTTGTGGCACTTTAAGATTCCTATAGTTTTCCTGAAGGCCTGCTTGGAAACTATCTGCATGAAAAGACAACTAATTGATTGAGTGAATGAATGAGGGATTTCAATACCTAGATACTTAGGGCACTACACACAAGCCAAAATCTTTTTTTAACTTTAATTCTTAAAAGTTTTTATTTAACATCCAGTTAGTTAACATATGGTGTACTATTGGTTTCAGGAGAATTCAGTGACTTATCACTTATATGTAACACCCAGTGTTCATCACAGCAAGTGCCCTCCTTAATCCCCATCACCTAGTTAACCCTTCCCCTCAATCACCTCCACTCTGGTAACCATCAGTTTGTTCTCTCTTGTTAACAGTCTGTTTCTTGGTTTGCCTCTCCCTCCCTCTTTGTTTCTCTTTGCTCATTTGTTGTTTTTTAAGTTCCACATATGAGTGAGACCATACAGTCTTTGTCTTTCTCTGACTTATTTTGCTTAGCATTATACTCTCTAGTCTCTATCCATGTCATTGCAAATGGCAGGATTTCATTCCTTTTTATGGATGAGTAATATTCCTGTGTGTGTGTGTGTGTGTGTGTGTGTGTGTACATACCATGTCTTCTTTATCCATTCATCAATGGATGGACACTTGGGCTGCTTCCGTATTGGCTATTGTAGATAATGCATGTATCACTTTGAATTAGTGTTTTTGCATTCTTTCAGTAAATACCTAGTAGATTGCTGGGTCGTAGGGTAGTTCTATTTTTAACCTTTTAAGGAACTTCCATACAGTCTTCCAGAGTGGCTACACCACTTTGTATTCCCACCAACAGTGCAAGAGTGTTCCCCTTTCTCTGCATCCTCTCCAGTACCTGTCATACAAACTGAAATGTTGTGCGGTGAGCTAGATTATATTCAAAGGCATCTCGGGGGGCAAGATGGCGGGGAAGTAGGGAGCTCCGTGCATTGCACTTGCCCCCATATCTCACACGGAAAAGATGTGAAGCCATAGGAAACCCTACAGAACCCAAGAGATTGGGAGAGAAAGGACGCAGAATCCACCGAGAAAGCCTTCTAATGTGAGTGTGAACGGGGTAAGGTAAAATCAGGCAGGGATCGGAGACTGGAGGGACAGGGCGATCCCCCTCTGCGGGGAGTGAGAGGGGAAAAAGGGAGAGTCCGAAACTACTCAAGATACGGGCCTTGCCGCTGGGAAACAGAAAAACCTCCGCTCGGGGCATAGAAGGATGGTGCGCGCCAAATCCCCGTGTGTGAAATCATCCCGGAGAGGCTGCGCGAGAGCCAACTCGTCCTGGAGCGGCTGCGCTGCGCGGGCACCACTCCTTTGCTCCTTTGTATTCCCAGCGTGGCTGGGTTCCTGGAGGAGCCGTGCGCGGACCTCCGCGCTCCGAGC